AGGTAGTTGGAGTGAGGACAGAGGATGCAGAGGACAGAGTGAGATGGAGGAGGACTCACTGTGGAGACCCCTGAAGAGGGGAAAACTGAAAGAAGAACAAGAAGTTATGTTAAGTTAAGCTCTGTGTGTCTGGAGTCGAGACAAAACGTCATGACAGTAAAGTTATTTTTGCAATGACCCGTCTCCTCGTTGTAAAGGGTGAACGCCTGCGTGGACGTGGTCGTCTCTGGAGTGGGACTGCTGCAGGCCCTGGCGGTGGATCCTGGTGCTGGCCTGGACCACGAAGTCCTGCGCTCCAAAGAGGACTTGAAGGAAGCGTTCATCCATTTCATGGAGCGAGGAGCAGCCGCCGAGCGTTTCTATAGCGACAAGGATGGGTTCCAGAGGATCGCGCGAGCAGCTGCAGAGTACCCTGGAGCGAAGGTAAGACCACACGTCTCTGCAGCTCCTCTTTTTTTAATTTTGTTTCATCATTTGTCCATGGATGTTCTTTTTTTAATTGAATTTGATGCCTGTCTCGTTCCAGCTGTACGTGGGAGGAAACGCTGCCCTCATTAGTCAGAAGTTTGCATCGTATCCTGATCTCATGGTACACCAGCATACCGTTACTTCTTTCACAAACGCTCGTGAAAATTAAATGGGATCCATTTTAATTATTTCCTAACAAGGGCCTGTAAAAAAATTCAGGTTCTAACATGTTAAATGGACAATAAACGACAAACACCTACCCCTACCAAACAAATAGAGGAAAATAAAATAAAGAAAGAATAGAAAAGAGGCAATACAAGAACTACACATCCAGTTTAATTCACATTTCACATGTATAAATACACACGTGAAAATGATCCGACATCCTGCACTGTTACTGAAGCACACATCCCAAAGTGGACTCATAAATAATTCATGTAAAAAGTGAGCATTTAATTTTTGGGGGACATTTTGCCTGCCAGTCAGAATTCTGTACAATAATTTGGAAGTGTAATAATAAAACAACTCTCTTTGTTCCACAGGTTTTGTTATGCGGGCCGATCGGTCCTAAACTCCACGAGATGCTGGACGAGCAGATCGTTGTTCCCCCAGAGTCTCTCCAGGAAACGGATGAATTTCACCTCATTTTGGAGTACAAAGCAGGTAAAGAGAAGAGAAAGCTGCAGCTTCGCTTCACCGTAGTCATTTGTTACGCATCAGCCATGTTTGGACCTCGGTCTCTGTCTGCAGGTGAACACTGGGGTTCAACTCGAGCCCCTCAGGCTAACCGCTTCATCTTCTCCCACGATGTGTCCAACGGTGAGATGAGGTCACTGGAGACATTCGTGGCGAGTCTGGACGAGTTCCAGCCCGACCTGGTGGTGCTGTCAGGGCTCCACATGATGGAGGGTCAGGGCAAAGAGCTGTGGGAGGAGCGACTGACGGAGGTCGGTAGGCCTGTCACAATAACAAATTTTGCTGGGCGATTAATTGGCTGAGAAATTATTGCGATAAACGATAATATTGTTTGAAATTTGGCAATAATTAGTAATTATTGTCAAATTTAAGAAGAAATGTTGGTTAATTTTTGTGTGTAGTACCTTTTTTGACCACTGGATGGCAATATAAGACTGTTTGAACAGAAGGATGGATAGTGAGGGCGCGAGCAGCGTGTCTCTAATGGGAGGGAGGCCCCTTGACGTGACATGGGCTGTCTCCTGTTTTTCGGTTCTCAAAATGACGGACGTTCGGTGTGGTTTGAGCTCTTTAGCATTTTTCACACAAAGCTTTTAATAAAAAATCAGTAAACAAGTTCTCAGCTTCTTTTTGCAGAGAAAAACAACTTTTTATACGAAGGATCCAAAAACGCAATTTTGGACGATTAAAATGGATTTTAAAGAGAAAGGGAGGGTCAGTGAAGAGCACCAGAGTTGAACCTTTTGTCATCCAGTGTCTTCAGTAGAAAGAGACACACGAAGAAACGATAAAGCCGATAAATGAAAATGAGGTTGATCATTTTAATTTATCATGCGATTAATTGATTTATTGTTTATCGCGACAGGCCTAGAGGTCGGTGGATTAAACGAGTTCAGGCTCGTTAGTAAAGCCTGGTGGTAGAGATGCTCCAAGTACAATATTTTATCAAAGTACATGCACTTATATTCAAGTACTAATAAATACCTATTCGCTTCATTTACGTGTGTGTTTGAAAATCAGAGGAGTTTATTTTAGCTCCTTCAACACAAGCAGCACTTTTCCTAAAGCTCCTGTTGGTGAGCGGTGAGATGTCCGGGAAGTTCGTGTTCAGATCCAAATGTCCCCAGGGCCTTTTCTGCAGCCACTTCCTGCTGCTACAAGCAAACTCTTTGAATCTGACTTCATGTTGCTTTATTTGTGTTTTATCAAACCGTTTGTGTTGAAAGTAAAACTTTGCCGAGCACGATTTATAGTCTGCTTTACTCCACATTTCTTCTTCTTCTGGTGCTTATCGGTGGTTAGCAAACAATCTGGTGCATTGTCACCTCCAACTGGTGAGGAGTTCGGCTCAGGACAGCCAACAACAACAACAACAAAAAGTCAGCAATATATATATATTTTATTAATAAGAATTGTATGGGTTACTTCCTGTTTCCAGGCTGTGGCAGCCATCGCTGATATACCTAGAGACATTCCCATCCACCTGGAGCTGGCGAGCATGACGGACAAAGACTACATGAACAGCATCATGCAGGAGGTTTGTAGGGATGGAAAATAAAAAGCAAGTGGGGATTTCCTTCACAGATAATGGAAGAACATTTCCCACCAGCAGTGCTGTGTACTTCATTAAGGAGTTTGTCTTTCTTCCTGTTAGCAGCTCATGCCCACTGTCAGCTCCATTGGGCTGAACGAGCAGGAGCTGCTCTTCCTCTCTCAGGCTGGAGCGGGGCCTCACGCAGCTCTGCCTGCATGGAAGGGCATCCCCGACGTGGGTCGGGTCAGCGACATCCTCCTCTGGATCCTGGAGCATCACGGCCGCAGCGACCCGTCCTCCGAGTCCGACCTCACTCGCGTTCACTTCCACACGCTGGCCTACCACGTCCTGGCTACGGTGGGCGAGTACTGGGGGAACCAGGCGGCGGCGGTGATGGCAGGAGCTCGCGTGGCCAGCAGTCAGTCCTGCGGCCTCCACGCTGTCGACGTGGAAAAAGTGGAGCTGAAGGCCCCGCTGGAGTTCTACAGCTCCCACACGGAGCCTCGAGAGCAGCTCAACTTGAACCCAGCAGAGCCCGTTACCGTGTGGCGCCGCGGGAACGTCACCTTCCACATGACGCCGGTGCTGGTCTGCAAGCACCCTCTTCGGACCGTGGGGCTCGGGGACGCCATCTCAGCAGAGGGACTAGTTTATTCAGAGTTTCAGGCCCAGCAGGACTTTTGAAGCTTCAGTCAGTCACTCCCCACATCTGGGAAAGCGTTGATGTGGAAAATAACCAGCAAACTGTCGCCTGGGACTGTGGTTACTGGGTTACCGGGTCTGAGTATATCTGGTTATATATGATTACGGTATATAGTTACCGCCGGTATATATGGTAATGTGGTTATATTTGGTTACCGGGTCACAGATTCTGGACACGTTTAGACGTCTGAGCCCTGATTCAGGTTCCTTCACCCCAAAGATCTGCTGCCATTAAGTGATCAGTGGTGACAGTTTTTTTTGTGTGTGTGTTTTTAATCCAGCCTGATGACTCCCCCAGCCTGCTCTGCCTCCTCTGATCCCCCCCCCCCCTTTATTTCTCCAGCAAACGGAGGCAGAGCTGGACTTGTCTGGACTCTATGCACTGTGCACAGCTCAAAGCCATCTTTAAGAGTTTTACTGTCACAGCTACGTAACTCCAACCTGCACACCTTCAGTACGCTGTGCCTTGTAAAATAAAAAATATATATTATAAAACACATTATTCATGTTTTAGAGCCAAACAAACGTCTTAAAATCAGTTCCTTTCTGACACATGTATTGTATAATATGTGGTAAAAATGTTCGTTTCTCCTACTTTTGGTGCGTTGACGGCAAATATTTACTAGAAAACTTGAATATCAAACGTTTTTTAGCGTTTCACGTAACTTCTAGATAAACTTGATATTGTTTTTTTTATTCGTGACAATACGTTTATTATGTCAACTTTTTTTGGTTTTCTCAATGTCTGACCAAAACACTCCTGTTGCAAAGATTTTTAAAATAGTTTTATGACTCCTGTAGATGAATGAGACTTGCCGTTATAAATAGCAACTTTAAATCTGGTTTTGTAGCGGGTGGAGTAGTTTATATGCAGAGAAGAGAATGATGTCGTAGAAACTTTGTTACAAATTTAAGATGCTGTTTATTAAACCGTCTGATGGTCAGAGTCATTTCCTGTTGGAGATGTGTTTTTTTTTTGTTATGTTTAAGTTGAGCTGGTCCTGGAAGGTGATTTGAAAATCCTGATTTATAACCTGTTTAAGAAACTGCAAGAAAACTTGGTTGTTGGTTGTAAACGATGTAGAGAACAATGATTTTACCTCAACAGGCCACTACAGGCATGCAATAATTATGGTCTTAAGGCAAACTTACAACTAAAGTTGTGGAATTTAGTTGCAGCAAAACTGATTCTTTGCACTAGAAAAGGGAAGCAGTAGATGTGCCTCCAAATGGGGTGTAACCTTAGACTCCAGCCCCTCTTTTTTTATTTTTGCAAGTACAATCTGTTCAGCTTTACGTCATCGTTGTCACATTTTTAATGTTTGTAACACGTTTCGTTCACTTGTAGACTCATTAAAATGTGTATGGAGGGACGTGTGTGTGGCCCGTTTGTGATCGGAGCGGAGGGTTGAATCCAGAGGGATCCTATTTAGGTTTTTTCCCCCGTATATTTGCAATCTAAATACTTCTGCATACTTTGTGCTCTGTTAGCCGTTCACATCTAAACATTTGGCTCATTCAGGTGACAGGTGCTGTGACTTCTGTAACATTTATTTATACCTTTACCTTCATTTACAAATAACTTGCACAATGAGATTTTTTGAAACCTGTTTCAGCACACTTGCAACGTTTTTAGAATTCCTTCTTACCCTACTTTTTAGCTTTTTGTGTTTTGCTAATTTTAGCTTTTCGCTCCTGTTTTCTTCTTTTTTTTAATGTTTTGGATGTTTTTATACATTTTAGCTGCTTCAGCACATTACAGCAGTCATTCAGCAAACAGCATTCACACTGTTTTATCACAGAATGCAATTTCTCTAGTATTCATTATAATTAACTAAAAAGCCTAAACATATCTATTTATAATATATATATAAATATATCTGTCTATACCTCAGTATTTAGTGGCATTTGGATCAGTTTTGCAAACTGAGGTGTACCACAAACCCACCCACACAGACCAGTATTTGCAGTTTGACTCATCACTATCTGGAGCACAAGAGTCATCAGGACTCTGTACCACAGAGCAGACAGCGTCCCCACTAGCTCAGGAGCCAGGCAG